CATAGTTATATCATCTAAAATATAGTTTTGTTTATTTCAGTCTAAACAATGTTCTCCATACCGATACGCTTTTGTCTGTTTTTATATACCTACGTTTTTCAATATTATGTTATTTTATTTTTCAGAACATCAATTTATGAGCGAATTCCAATGAATTTTTAATCAATGTTATAAAATTGTCATAACATTTTGTATCCGTAACATTAAAGTTATCTTAGGTCATTAACATTTATGGAAATTTTAATGACCGACGCTTTTTTTGTCTCAGGTATTTTTATTGCATTTAAAATAACAATTAATGTTTTAATTTTAATTCATCAATCTGCAAAAACCTTCCGTATAGATACGAATACATCGTATATTAAAGCGGCTATCATGTAATTACTTTGTTACAAAATCCTAATCAAGCAAATTCCTTAACTTGTCTGTTCCATTACATAAAATGCTTCTCTTATTTCGTTTGACCTTTAGTGGGAACGAATGCAGATTAGGTCGAAACAGCTCCACGCGCCTTCGTCCAGAACAAAAATTAATTCCAGCTGTCATGTACTTAAAACAAATCCCTTCTGATTTGAATAAACTCGCTATTTGTCGTGAACGGAGGCGATTACCCGTTTCCTTGACACTTACTAAGGACCTCCTTTGAATAATATTTAACATTTGTATATAAAATACTTAATACTGTTTAGATTTTTAGTGATTATTTAGAATATTTTAAGCATTTATTATTAATGGTAGCATACATTAGGAGAATATAGATTACACTGCTAAAATTGTCTTACAAAAGCAACGTTTAACTGTATGATGAAGTAAAAAGAATATCAATTAAAAAGGAATATTTTTTATCAAACGATTATTGAATATCATTTATAATACACGAACTATATCCTAAAATAAGTACGTTTCAGTTTCATAGAATATGAACAAAAATTGTTGAAGGGTTTTCTATAAAATTCTTTGAGCTTTGATGTAACTGCAGGCTATGGTTTAACAAATAACACACAAAGGCTTCACAGAATAAGATTGAACAAAGTTATTGATAGAATATATGTTATCGAGGTAATATCTTATTATTCTTTGTTTGTCGAAAACCCGAGTTGTGTTATTGAAAACTAAACCTTGTATGAAAGATACATGGATTTAATAAAATATGAGCGCGTGGTTTAAACAACAGAATAATATAATGATGGTAGTGATAATAAATACGTGTGATAATCTTTTAATAAGAGACAATGAAAAGACTAATTGGAACTGTACATTGTTCTAGGACGGACAATGCTTGTCTCGACTAGAAAAGACGGTGTTTTAATAAACACACTTTTATCATAGAACTAAGGTAATGTTTAAATAAACTCATTCATTATAAAACCTCAAAAAGAGAAGAAAAATATTTTTTAATGCCTAATGTTTGTTTGTTGTATTAATTTAATATCAAATGCACGGTATGTATTCGTTAACACGATATCGTTCACAGTACACGTGCTCCATACAGTCGTGTCGAGTGCTTCAGCCATTCACGTGCTCACTAAATAACCAGGTCGCATTTCAATGGTCACCAGGTCATTTGGCTTTATATTTATTAAACAAATTATAATCATTAAATCCATTTAATCTAGTATAAACAGTTTTCAACACATACATACATTTGATACAATATTCTCAGTTATCGTAAATCATTGTCTAGAGACCAATGTTGCTGCCTTCTCAATGCAATAAATAATAAAAGTGTAAGAATGAATTAAATAAAACAATGATTTTAATTAGTGAGTCCAGATCTTTGTTGTTCTCTAATTAATTCCACTGCAGCCCGGACTCCTGCGAGTGTTCGTAGAATTAGTATTTTTGGATCACAAAGCAGCGAGACAGAACGAGCCGACGTTACTGAACTTGATACGCAATTCGTTTCTGTAATTGGAAAATGTTCAATAGGCGTATTGAAGCCGGACTATTCGTAGGTCGCTTTTTAGAAAAATGTACTCTTGAAACGGCCGTTGTGTCAGCGGAACGAAGAGATTGGACGTTCGGTAAAATACCGGCGCGTTCCAGTCGACGGCGATGAGATTTGTTGATGTTAGAATATTTAAATAATTTTCGCAGAATGTTCTATACAAAAAATACACTCTCAGAATAATTCTTCTTAAGCTGTTCAAAGTTCGATGCGGACTCGTTCGGTAGCAAATTATATTATGAGAGAGGCGGAACATCTACATAATCCGAAGCAAGCAGCTTGCGAAACTTTAAGTACATAAAACCCTCGTGCTATTACATACCCACGTCACTCTTACAACATCTTTATTGTTATTGTCTTTTCGACCTTACACGAGGTAAAACAACAGAATCATTGAAGCATGTAGTTTATTATAAATTGTTGTATTTTTTGTCTAAAAACTAAATAAAATGTTTCCTAACCAACTGCAAACAACTTTTTCATTTTCGTGTTTAACTCAGTTAACCGGCCTGATGGGACGTGAAATCTCTTTCATATACATATTGTATGCATGTATAAAATTCAAGTTAATGACGGAGAATGTTAAAATCTCTTTATAACTATTCATAGATGTGAGAGTCTCTGTACAAAACAAATACTTTAGAAATGTATAATTGGAATGCCATAATTTTAAATTTATATTTTTTCTAAAATTTAGGTACTAGTTTCTAAATGCCTTTGTAGTAGTTGGTACCAGCGAGTATGGATTCGCTTGCGAGCTGAATATGTAGAAGATCCAATATGCAGCCTACCCTAACAATACACCAGCGAAACAAAGCTACGGAACACTGTGTGAAATAGTTTTAATGCAAATTAAATCTTATTCCGTTACAATAAGAGCAACAAAAGTTTTTTTAAAACGAATCGTTTGCAAGCGTCCATGAGACCGCGGTGTATAAAATATTCGTTCCAATGTGAGTTCTATTTTATTCCATCAAGGATTATAATCGATCGTCAGTATAAAATTAGTAAAGAGCTTAAGTTGAGGCATACGATAAAGTCTATTACAAAAACAATGAACACATGCTCACCCTCATTGTGTCGAAGCAGATTTGCTAAAGAGCGTGTGGGAACCTTTGTATACAGCAGTCGGTAATGCTATCTTAATTAAAAGCGAGAATTCAGTTAAAACAGTTTTACCTTCAATGAGATCTCGGTTAAAACAAATCGTGTTCTATATCACTTAGCATCACAGACCGCGTACTATTTAGAACATTTAAAACATTCTTTTTATCAAAGCTTTGATACAACTTCAAAAACTATTTGCTGAAACATTATTTAAAATATACTATTTTATTTTAAAAACTCATTGACTCGGAACAGTTTTATAGAAATATAGCAAAATATAGATTATCTTTCTTTTTTTTAGGTTTGGTTAAGAGCTCGGTAACGATGTGTTTAGACATTAGTATAAAGTTGGTTGATTTTAAGTCCAATAAACTAAGAACGAACGTAAAGATTACTTATATAGCATTAGTCCTATCCGAAATATTTTACATGCTAAGTCTTTTGATACAACATTTTTATACAAAAGTTAATAGTATGTAACCCCACAATGTAATATATTCACTAGTAGGTATTGTATGTGATCGTAAACACAATATAAATCAATGTTCTCAAGTACAGTTGTATCGAGTTGTTTGTTCGTGTGTTTACTTTATTTCAATTCATCCGTGTGTTGAGAACACTCGCACTCGTTCTATTTAAAATTCACTTGAACTCACTACGAAAACCTAGTTTGTGGGTCAAGCAAACAGTCTCATGATATTTTTTGTGTTTTTTCTTTTTTTTTTAAGAATCAATTGAGATTTTTTTATTTCTGTTCTTATATCATTTCTATATAGTCGTACATACTCCTTGAAGTTGATATATAAACATCATATATGAGTATAAAGGACTTTATAATATAACTGTTCATTTGATTAATTATTATCGAAGTTAATAGAGAATCTATCTTATGTAGTTTGTAATAAGGTTCATTATAAAAATAACTATCTAGTGCTGACCATATACCTGTCGTATATCTCTGTACGATCTCCACTAATATCGAAGTGTATTCAACGTCATCTATACTATAAACGCTGTGAGTTCTCTTTGTGGCCGCACGTTCGACACTCGCAGGTACTCGTAGTACTTCCTTTATATTAACTTACAACACCTTAACTGTACAAGGAGCTTGAAAGCTTCGTAAGTACTCTTCGGTCTAAGGTGTATACACTCAGACTAAAGTGTATGTGTTTATATCAAGCGTATAATATTATTAATAGTTCGTCTCATCTAACAATGTGTTGTCATTTTAGTTTTAAATCATGTTTTTAAATGTATTAATTCACCTGTCAGATGATGTTTTAAGAAGTTTTATTGCGTCATGTAATCCGTCCTCTAAACTTGTATAAGTTTACTTCGCACTCGAAAGCCAAAACTGTATTTTGTTGAACATGACTCGTAAGAGGAATGCTAGTTGTGTGTTGTGGAGACAATAAATAAGGCAGCATCGCACTCTGTACTGGTTGTTGGGACGTGTGTCGTAAATCAAAGGTGTTCAGCTTCATGTCGAGTTATTCAATGAAAGAATGGTGATGATGACTTATGGTGACAGATATCCAAGAGATAACATCCTGGAGGTTACTTGAACTTCACCCGGTATAAAAAAGAAAGATTTTGGTCTTTTAGAATCTAGCTGGGATTTGTTACTACAGCTCGAACATGGGCTAGTTGAAGGATCAGTTTGAAGTTACCTTTTATGTTTGAGAGAGTATATCGCTCTTTTTTCCCATACGTTCATACCCTTTCCTCTCTCTTCCATGCTTTATAATGCAGAAGTCCACGGCAACGGTGAATACCTCCCATCAAGAAGGCTGTCGCGTCGGCTCGTTTGCATCCTTTGATAAAAAAAAGAAAACTCATCTTTGTTTTACATAAAAATATCCCTCCTAAGGAAGTTTATCGCTTTCAAATAATATAATGAACTCCATTCTTGTTTGATATTTTGTTTCTCAGATATAAATCAAACCTGCAGTATGTTTGTATGTTGTTGTAAGTGGTGCATGTTCCACCTGCGGTCACTCGTGTGCCGCACGTCACCTGCCTCCCTGGCTTTGTCTCTGTATCATAATATATACACGGTGTTGGGTCTCCTGTTTATATAATGACTCAACTATAAAAATCTAGCACTATAATAATAATCACTTACTATACATTAGACACTGTTAGTTACTTATATAGCACAAAAAGACTAAACATGTATTAGGTTTTTCACCTCAATATAAAAATAAATCTTGAGAAGAACAATATAGAAGTTGCAATGAATTCGTGTATATTCCCTTGTAGTATTTTGTTTAATGTGCCTTTAAACTATAAATTTTAGTGGCTTAACAGAAACCAAACCCGCTTATTTCGAGCCGATCCTCCCTCCGTTTCTTATTTATAACTCCTTTTCCTCTTAATTCCTCGTAATCCCATCTATATAACAGAAGTATATTCTCCAACATAAATTTAATAAAACATGACATAAAATAAACAAAACTTTACTTTAAATCCAATTTATTTTTGATGTCACAAGAGTTATTATAATGTTATATATTCAGGTTCTCTCTCTTCGCAATTCATTTAAATTGCATCCTCTTTTTACAATTTTTATAGAAAATTACTCAGCAAAAAAATTGAAATCTCTTAAAACAGACAAGAGTCGGTTGCTGCATAATTCAACGTTGAAACGCAACTAAGCGTAGCGGTATTGCGCGTGCTACGAGCGTAGCTCGCTACGATATCGTAGCTTGTTGCTACGAAATTTGTGACCATTATAAAGTTTGTACTTTTAGTGCTGTCTGTATGGAATCGATGTGTTAATATGAACTTAGAACATTAAATGTAATATAAACATTTTTTAAAGCATTTTTATGATAAATTAAGGAACATAAAAAATCATCATTACGGCGGACGCCGACACTGAAGCTGTTATAATAATTTTTTTTGTGACGATTACGAAGGCTTAAAAATGATTGACATTCATTATATTTTAACGAGGAGGGCGTCAGATGTCAGGAAAAGAGAAACAGATTTAGACGATTTAACAAATAATCACATTTAAATTGGAAATAGAGAATTAAAGTATTAAATGTACAAAATTAAAAAAAATTATTAATTAAAGAACCAAGAAAACAGCTATGAAAAATTTGTTATTTATCAATTTATTATTTAAATTTTAGTGAACATCGCTAAGCGTTTAATAGTTTTAAATACGTCATTGCATTATGCTCCTTATTCATATAGAACATAAAATAATAAATCGTATTCATGAATAATGCTCGTGAAACTGTTCCGGGCGGTCGGTGTTCTTATAAAAACGTCAACAATATTCGACCAGGATCGAACTCATTCGAGTCAAAGCGCGGGTTATTGAAATTCTCGATAGAAATTTATTGGGAACATATTGAGGCTTTAAAGTTGCCAGTTCAGAGTTATGTGAAGTTAGTTTGATAGCGTTTTATAAACTCGGCATGAATATTTTATTACAAAGAGATTATTAAAAATATCATCGAACTGCGACCCGAATACGCTTTATACGAACTCGTTTAAAATACATATATTATGTATTGGTTTTTTATTAAAATACTCAAAATATACTTCATGCTCAATAATTTTATTTGTAGTAATAAACTAATATTTTATAATATTCTATGTTCAAGACACGTTTATTCTCTACAACACTGAACACCCTGCATACAGTAATTATGAAATTTTTCAAGAATGTATCATACAGACTGTTTCAAACAAAGACCACCTCATACAACCTCGTACCCTGACCGTACCTGTCATACATTGAATACCTCCCGCAGCGTCACGTGTGAAATCTCCATCAGCCAGAACAAACATTTTTCAACCCTCATATGAATTCCACGGATTAATACCTTTACTCCTAGTTTTTGTCAACAGATTATTCAAAGTTAAAACATTAATACTCTATAATATCTCTTTGTTGTTGAATAAATATATAAAATGTACGTTATTCATGTATGTATGTATGTAGGTATAATAGCAAGTAATTTAAAAGTAAGTAAATAACTAATAAGTAACAATTTCATTATTATGTTAGTGTAACAGAAATTAAACTGAGGTAATACTAAAAAATATATTAAATAATATTTCACGTGAGAGCGTCTCCATTTTATAATATAGTTGTTTAATTATAAATTTTAATAAGTCTCCGTATCTGTGGCAGATGTCGTCTTCTATAATTTCTTGTTTAATTAAGGCTCCGCGTTACAATTTCCGCTTCTGACAAACATACTAATATCGGAGCGGGAACAGGCGGAGGTGCTTCATTAAATTCACGTTAGGAATATACCTACTGTAGGTATGTATATATATTAATACATCGAGATGATCTGCTTTCGATCAAACGTTTGTTGTTAACTTGTATTTGTTTTATATGAAAGGTTTCGGTTCACTAATCCATACAATCTAAACCTCTATATATATGTATGTATGTTTGTATATATTTTAAATCGTATCGCCCGGCCATGTTCCCGCGGGAGCGCGTCTGTTTCGGTTATATTTTTTGGTGGTTTTGTTACAAATTTGAAACAATAAATCAGCTCGACAAATTGATGGTGAAATCCTATTTTGTTTCGCAGACTTTTAAATGTGTTTGACGATTATATAAATATAAAATGGTACGTCGTCTGAGTATTGGCAATACTCAGTTTATATTTAAGTTGCAGGAATTTTAATTACTGTATTTTAGTTTAGGTTAATTGTAGTTATAAGAATTATGTAACTACTGTTATAATTTAATCACATGTTTTTTTGTGATAGCATGTCTAAAAATATTTAGACATTTGAGCGAGGTCTTTATAGCTTGAAGACGTTGGCCCTCGAATGTAATCCACATTCAAAGATGACCTGATAATTGATAATAATTAGTCTGACAGGCCATAATCCTACTGACCGCTGGTGACTCTATTGGTCTGGTGACTCAACATCGATAACGAATAATCACCGCAGTTCTTTGTCGAGGAATCACTTCACTGTTCATATAACAACTCTCTCATTCATTTCTTGAATGAAATTTATCATTTCCAAGCTAAAGATGTTCAAAAGAAGATATTGTTTTTTGAGGAGCATTCGTCTTTTCCATAAAACTTTCAACGAGTCTGGCAGAGAAAATTTATGTGCAAGCTACCGTAACAGCCTTCATATGAGTGACGTGGAAGTTAATACAATATCATAGTTAATGAGTCCCAGGATTCAATACTATGTACTAGTCATTTTGTTTTGCTTCAATATTTTGAAAAAAAAATTATACAAAGATACAAGTGACAATTTTATTTTGGCAATAAAACTACATAGTTTACTGAGTATAGGAAATTGATTAAAATGTTATTCTGGTAGTTACTTTTAGATTGTCTTAAATGCTCTGTTTCAACTGTTTTTCCGTTGGTAATGTTCCAATCACTTTATTCGAACCCATTTAAACAAACTCCTTAGAGGCAATACAGAACTTGGTTTAATAATATCTAGTAGCAGGAAAAGTAAAAAAAAATACAAGTTCCAATGAATAATAAAACATGAGGTTTGATTTAAAAGGTCAATGAACTGTTACGTACGCAATACTGTTGACAATAAAGTTAACGTCGAAAATTTACACGCGCCAGTTAAATAAATGCACTCGTAAGTATTACGTGTTTATTACTTTTATGTACACAGTCGGTCATTGACACTTGGAATTGTTGAAATTATGAATTAATTGAACGTATTATTAAAATTAATGGTACTAATTATTTCTAATAATTATATGGGTTTAATAATCAATTTTATGAATAAACTGTGAGTGAACACTCGCTTTATTATTTCATTTCCTTACTTTCATTACACGGAATACACGACAGTTTGATATGAAGTGAGGAGTAGTAACAGTTCCTCTCATAATATCAACATTCAGTCAAACCCACACCCACACAGTCTTCATTCATCTGGAACAGAACAACACACAGATGCACTATACGAGTATCACTCACTTTGACTGACAAATTGAATATATGTACAACAATCATTCATATACTTTACAGTTAAAATCTTATAAATGATTACAAATAAACATTTATTCCTCAAATTCTGTGTAAAAATTCTCAAAGAAAACATGATTATAACGTGAAATACTTAAATTATTTTTATAAAATAATGAATTATATCGTTTGAAGTGACAGCTGAAGGCTCTCATCGATCTACATCCTAAAATACTCTTTATAGAGAATTTTAATTTTATTTATCATATAATTATAATCACTCATTATAATCTGTAACGTGCACTGTTATGAAGTATATTTTTATAACAATGAAAACAAAACGAGTCAAAATAAAAATATATTTAAGTTTATTATAAAAGGTTTTTGATTTCATGAAACCTTTCATTCAAACGACTATAATTTAATTTCTTTTTCGGAAACATCACAGTTACGTTTATTTTGATAAAATATTATTACATCTGACAGAATAATATATTTTTGGATAGGATGTGTTTTTTATTTATTGCTTGATTATTTTTATACAGATGTATCTAAAAATCAAATGTTAAAAGTAAAGACAGTAATTGATACCCGTTTTTAACGATACAAAATACAAAAGGCCATATAGATTAAATATATACCGTTTATGGCGAATGGCGACAATTAATAAAATTCAATATAAAAAATTAACATCGAACAAAATAGAAATTACTCCACGAAAGTCCGCAATTTACAATTAAGCGTCCATTACTGTACATAATGAGATTGAAAATTAAAATTTCCATTGAGCGCTTGTAATTAGCAGCGAACAAGTAACTCATTACAGAATATAACTAAACGCTGTAGGAGCTGTTTGCGACTTTTATTTGACCATTGAATGCGAAACGACTTCTGTTTATCTTCTACTCGTTTTACTTTTTCAATTGGTTTCAAGTTTTTTATTAATATTTGTATTTATTTATTACTTTTTCTTTGTCTGTTTGTTGTATCGTTTACTGAAGATTCATTAAAGAGCAGTTGTTACAAACCTAAATCAGAACAATTCCACAAAAGGGGAACAAGTCTAATATTAAATAAATAAGTTGAAATCCTTTCTG